GTAAGGCTGATTAGAATTTGAGATATTGTGGCAACTGCATCGAAAAAAGTGGTTTCGAGAAATAATTTGATTTATAAAAATTCGAACTTCCAGACTCGAATATCCCTTAAGTAAACATAAAAAAAAATATTTTTCACCAGAAGCCCAATTGGATTAAACAAGGTGTGTTTCAAAGTAAAGAGGCGTTTGGAATCTAGCGCCCCCTAGCGGCGCCTTCTGTTGACTGGTACGTTTCAATCTGCTATCATTATAAATTGTCCAGTGAGATTTCATGACATTTCATCGACTGGAAGTGAAGTTATTGCGTTTCAGCTGTCAGTATGTTTGTGTTATCGGTGCGAAAATGAGTCCATACCGGCCAACGAGCTAAAACACTCGTTCGACATGCTTTTGGACCGTACAAAAACTTGTATTGAAGCAGAGGGAGACTATTTTGAATAAAATAAATTGATTTTGCCGAAAAAACCATTTGTTCACTTTTATTTTTTAAGTTCTGTTTACTTTGGAAAGCACCTTGTATTATAATTTGACTAAAATTATAAACTCACTAAGAAAATTGTTGTTTTTAAAATAACTCTAAATATCTTAATCCAAACACCTAACCTAACATAGAAATAAGGAATATGTACATATGTATGTCAAATACTACGATTTCTGAATAACTACTTCTATGAAAAATCAATTGTTAAAATTTGTAAAACCAAAGCATTGCACCAGCCTTAAAAACCACACCTTCTACCAATTACCCGCCTTTATTACAGTAAAAAAGCACGACAGAAGCATTATCGACGATTTCCATGGAACTAAAACTCTCTTTAAGGCGCACTGTTCAGGTTGTAGTATATGTATATACAGAGATATATAAATATATGTACATTAGACCGGGTCGATCTTTTTTTGAATAATACACTGCCGTTATGAAGTATGAACTAGAGCGAAATTCTGCAAAATGACGTGCTTTTAGCTTTTTAATTAAAGGCAGGCAACAGGAATATTAAATAACTTAGATCAATCCGTAGCACATTTCCGGCATACGCTATTTTTTTTTTTTTTTTTTTTTTTTTTTTTTTTTTTTTTTTTTTTTTTTTTTTTTTTTTTTTTTTTGACTCCCTGTAACATAACATAGTGCTTTTGCTTGAAGTAAATGTCTTTCGAAATTGGTGCAGCATTTCGCCAATAATTATTGCTCACATGCGTCGATACGTTTATAAAAACAATTGAAATTATAAAACATACATTTGCACGTCGTCGTACATACGAATTTCTGTATATTTAGACTTACATAAGTATGTACATATTTATCATAAGCGTTCAGCGTGCGCAATTCATTAGAAAAATGTGCATTTCTCTGGATGCGGTGATCATTTTTTGTAGCAAATGATCGTTATTAATTGGCATCTAATTCAAATAGATTTGCGTCATTGTAACTGTAAATTTGTGTTTACTTCTCATTCGCATGCTTGCAATTTATGGAACATAAACATGCATATGTATGTGTATACATATGTATGCGAAAGAATTCACCCATTTTGTTTCATTTTTTTATCTTTTAAATTCTTTCAAATAAATTATAACCATGCACTCGAGTTGATAAGTACTTTAGATAATATTATACTTTTTTACTTTTTATCACATTCACCCTTAATGCCCTTCATTGATAGATTGACAATTGTCATTGATTCATTAATGACATAATTTAAGTATGTATGCATATTACATACACTTATACCCGCTAAGGAACATTTTAGCTACTAAAAAGTTTTTTTTTATGAAATAATTATTTCAATAAAATTCATTGTAATGGGTGATCCAAGAAGAGTTTATTATTTTTTTTAATAGCCTTTTTTTTTTTTGACAGATGAAGCGTGAGTCGTGTCAAGCTGTCATATAATTTTTGTTCAGTATGGCTTACAACTGAACAAAGTTCAACTTTATTATAAAAACTCACGTTCTGTTTATAACTTTCCACGTTGCGAGCCATATTTTGTTCAGCTTATTTCTGGTTCAATAAGCAAAATTGCCGCATTTGGGACGAAACGAAACCTGAAGAGATTCAAGAACAAAAAACAACAGTTTTGGTGTAGTTTGAGGGCCAGTGGAATCATCGGTCTATATTTCTTAAAAAATTATGAACGTATCGCGTCATGATAGCCGACTGTTTGATGCCTGAAATTTTAGCTCGTGAGCTCGGCGTCATTTAATTTCAACAACTTGATACACTTCGCATCAATCAATGGATTTATTGAGAGCTCACTTATGTGAGCAGATAATTTCACGTTTTGAACCTGTCGATTGGCCACCAAGAGCATGTGATATCACATCGTTAGAGTTTTTACTGTGGGGATATGTAAAGTCTAAAGTATACGCGGACAATTTCGCTTCGATTGAGGCCTTGGAGCAAATATCAAACGTGTCATTTGCCATTTACTATTCGAAACGCTGAAACGAGTTATCGAAAATCCGACTCGACGAATAGATAATCTGAGATGTAGCCGCGTCCAACATTTGAAAGATATCATCTTCAAAAAATAAGTGCGGAACAATATTTTTTCGAATAATAAGAAACATTCCCCAATAAATTTAAAGCTCTTTCTCTTTAAAAGGTAGTCAACCTTGAAATAAATCCCCCTTAATCTTTAAAATCTGTTAATTTGAGAGAATGCAATCCAATTTTCCGATGAATTATTCTCAGCTTCGGTTGGGACGGCATTCAGGTTTTTTGTTTATTTCGGTTTTATCGAATTTTTGGAGGGCATCGGACAGTTATGACGTCATATTCATAAACCCACGTCTCGTAATCATGTCTTTGACATATGCAGGGCATATATAGTATTTTGCAACTTCTAGTCTGTCTTTTAGTAAGAGTCTAGTAGGCAACGATGATTTTGAACACCCTTTCTTCAACTTTTTCGAATTTATAGCACTGCTGACATTTTCAACGATTCCGTATGTACATACATAGATGAAAAGATTATACTAATCGAAGAAATTAGTAATAGTAATTATAATTGAATTGAATGGATAGAAGTGATGAAAATATTAATTTTCACACGCAATTTGTAATACCCTATAAAATTGTAATTTGTAGGATACCCTACAAAAAGATATATGTATGTATATATATTAGGTTGTAAAAAAAGTATTGCGGTATTTTTATTGAATTTTCAATTGCTCATAAAATTTTTTTTTTTTTTTATGACTCATGCCCACCTCTTGACCCATGCTACGACTGCTACTATGCCGGCCTCTTTCGACCAATTCAGCGATTTTATCGCAATTTTCGACGACAGACTTTCCGAAGCGTGGCGCATCTTCGACCACCTCTACACCAGAACGAAACCGTTGAAACCATCGTTGTGTGGTTTAAATGGAAATTGTATCGGGGGGAAACTGCACAAATTTTATTGGCGGCTTGAGATGCATTTTTGCCTTTATCGTAGTAGTATTTTGTTCCATGTTTGCGACGCTTTAACTCACGAACGACTCACGTGTTATCTCGTGAAATGAGCTTTCCAAAAAGGACTAAAACTAGAACTACGCGCTCTCAGCGCAAACTAGCGAAAATACCGCAAGACTTTTTTGACAACCGTAATCATAATCAGCGTGACGAGCTGAGTCGATTTATTCCTTCTGTCTGTATAAACGCATACAAGTCCTACAGTTTTTAAAATATCGCTACGAAATTTTGCACAATTTTCAAAGCGAAATTAGCACTCTTTTCTTTTTGTCTTTAAAGTCATTTTTCTTACTACTAAGTCATCGTAACTTATCACCTACAACACGAATAAAAAAAATTCTTTTTACAGTTTTCGAAAAACTTTCACACCTTTTACTTCTTTATGAAGTTAAGATTCGGCTGCGATGGGAGGTCTAACTCCCTTACTTGTGTATATTTATCATTATATTTAGATTAGAAAATATCAGCGCACAAATAAAATAACAAAAAATATGTAGAGCACGTGTGAGCATTAATCATGTGAATAAACATATATGTATGTACATATGTATGTGTGTGAATATAATATAAGTATATATGTTTGTAAGTAAAAGAGCTAATTGTTTACGAAACTAATTTCCTCGATTAAAATTCGCTTTGTTCAGACTTTTTTGTGCTTTTTGGTTAATTAGAGTTCACAAACAATATTTTTAGATTATTACATACATATGTACATGCAGACAAACACATATATACACATTTCATTTACTTTTTAGTATTCTTGTTTTTGCAAAAGATATGCCTTTAGAATTTAGTACCTATAATACAAAGCTATATGACCTTATTACATATCCATATGTATAGTGTATGAAAAACAAATAATGAAGGTCCAATCGCATGCCGAACTGAATACCCGACACACTTTAGAGAAATAAAACATATCATAGAATGGAAATCACCTGACTTCAGATTATTATTTCCAGCGAACAGACTTAGAAGAGAGCTCTCCTCCACTGCAGGGCAACTGATGCTTTCCTTACTCTCTACCTTACCAACAGGTTGAACCCGAGAGCCTGCAAAGAGGAGAGAGGTATGTCTACGATCTTATACATCCTAGTTCTTCTAAAAGTTTTTCATACAAAAACTTTATTCTGATCGTTCAGTTTGTATAGCAGATATATGTATATGTAGTTATCGGTCCGAACAGCTCGATATCTCAAAGCTAATAGACCAGTGATTGACAAACAGACAGACATTGCTAAATCGACTGAGCTTATCACACTGATCATTTATATATAAATATATAGATATATGTTTATCAGGTCTTTGATATTTCTTTCTGGGTATTACAAAACGTCGTAGCAAACTTAATAAATAATCTTTTCAGGGCATAAAAATCCCGAATACTATTAAAACTATGTACGGATTTACAAAAACTTTTATGAATTAATATGAAAATATCTCGACTACTTGAGACAAATATTTTAAAAGCTAATCAACTACTTACATATTCAAAGATTATTTCATTCAATTATTTAATAACATTATTTCTCCTTAATTGCAGTATTCGGAGATACGAGTACAATTGGCACAAATCTCCGCCAATTTGGAGACAATGAGTCGAATGGTGCAAACAATAAATATACGAAATTTCAATGGTATGTTAATACAAAAACACATGTTCATACATAAATATGTATTTGCATGGAACATAGAAAACAATAATATGGCAACTAACCATATACAACACTTTCAATTCTAACAGAAAAGGAAATGGATGAACTGCGCACACAGAATTTAAAAATGGGTAATCAGCTGATGAACAAATTCAAAGAATTCAAAGCGAACATGCCGCCTGAGAACGATTTCACATTGGAGGCGCGCATGAAGCGAACGCTCTTCTATGGTCTCTATCAGAGTTACATACAAATATGGACGAGAAACGAAGAGTTCCTGCAATTATACGAACGCAAGCTAAAGAAAAATTTGGAAATGCATTCGAAAATCAGTAAGTACTGCGACTTGATACGATATAAAAATTACACATGAAAAATAAATTATTAACATATTCAGGATTTCGAATTGTCTAATTAAAAATATTAGTTGAATATTGAAAATTTTGTTTTTAATACAAAAATTGTAATTAAAGCGTTTTTTGCCCTTGCAAGCATGAAACCCAAAGACACATGGCAGTAATGAAGATTTTCATAGACCACTTTAAGACCAAAAAACAAAAATATTGCAATAGATGCATTCAAAATAAGATCTTTGATAAAATTTCGATTTTTTTAAATAGTCTGAACTATAAATTTATTCTTTAAAATCTAATTTTTTTGTGAAGTCGCCAAAATTTTTAGTAGTTCTTCGAATATTACCTAAGGAATCTAACATAGCAAGGCCGTGGGAAATTTTCACCGATCGGTCCAGTTGTTTTGGAGAAACCGGCTCTGAAAAATACCGTTTCGAGAAAATAAGACTAAAATTGAAAAAAAAAAAATAGATATTGCAAATTGGAAATTTAATTTTAGATTCCAGCGTCAGAATTAAAAACTGAATTTTAAAACAAACAATACTGTTCAAATAAAAATGGACGAAAAAGGTAAAAAAAGAATAAATATTTGCCGTAAAATATAATTTTTGAGATTAAAAATTTATTTTTAATTTTTTTTACCAGGTATTTTGGTTTAAAAAAAATCAATATTATTTTTAATTAATATTTTCGGTATTGTAAAATAAAATACAAAATATTTGAATATTAACTCCGTTGCTATATGTACATATATATTAAAGTTTTATTACTCACCCACCTTTAGTGAACTGCAATTCCACTGAAGACGAAATTGAAGAACTGATAGCAAATAAGACGACGAACCTTTTTGTTGGCAATGTAAGTCATATACGCTCACTCTACACTCATATTTACACTAACACTTTGTACTAACAGTTTACGCACATTTTACACCAACACTTTTCACTAAAGCACTTTTCACTATCACTTTTAACTAAAACTTTCCAATAACACTTCTGTCGCATTTTACACAAATAGTGTACTCTATCATTCTTATCCTTCTTATTCACTATCGCTTTACACTAATGCATTAACATTATTGTTGGATTTTGTTTACAGATTCTAGAAGAAACCGAAAATGAACGACGCACACTTCGTGATTTAATGGATCGCTTCAATGAGCTTAAGAAACTGGAAAAGTCCATTGAAGATGTGCACGCTTTATTCCTGCGTATACAAACACTCGTAATGGAACAGGTGCGTACAACAACAAAACAACAGCCTCGTTTTGATCTGCCCTTGTCAATTACTCTATATTCACATTGTTGTTCATTTGCAGAGTGAAACGATAAATCGCGTTGAATTTGTCGCGCAACAAGCGACGCACTTTGTGGATAAGGGTCAACATAAGTTGGAAAAAGCGGAATCGCTGAAAAAGAGAGCTTTAAAGGTTAGTTACATTTGAGTATGAATTTGTATTTTTGTTTTTTACCTTTCAATTTTTGTTTTGCAGAAGAAGTTTTGGCTCATTGGCATCGCGTTGGCTGTGTTAATTGTATTAATATTAATTGGTATATATTTATGATCTAAAGACAAATATATTTATTTTAAATACAAAACGCACGACACCTTTTCACTTCAACGAAGTTTCAAACCGGAACTTTTTGACAGTTAGCAAAGGAAGAGGAAAAATAGCGGCAGTTGGTGAATAACTCAGCGTCGTGTTGAATATTAGATATAGTGCTGCCACTTATTTGGCAGAAACTTTGCTTAGCAAATATGAAATAAATGAATGAAGAAAAAATATGTTGTTTATTATTGAACTTACTTATATATTACATATTCTTATCTTTTATTTAATTGTATTAAATTAGAATATTTAGAATAGTGATAAAAGGTATATACATTTTTTTTTAGTTCGTAATTACCTTAAATAAGTCAAGGTAGTGTCGTTATCGTTTTACAGGCAAAAGGCAAATTTTTGTGAAAGTTATCTAATAATATATAATATATATCACGAAAAATACAAGTTTCCAATTATACAATTAGAAACTTCAACGATTACAATCAAAATACTATTAGGAATAGATTGTAATATGATAGTAAAACTTACTGTAAATATGGACTTATAACATATGTATATATAGCGGTGCAGCAACAGAACAGAAGCGGGTCTATGTAAAATCATTAGTTCAACATTCTTCGTATAAAATAGCAAAATCGGTGGTAATTTTGTAAAAAAAAACTCCTTTTGCAGGAAGAAACGAATAAATGTTCCAATTTTAGAGTCCGACAGTACAGTGGGTTCGGACATTCTGCGAGTACATAACGAAATAGAGTTTCATTTTATATATAGGAAAGAAGATTAGGCAATCAGCGATTTCTATTTCGCTAGTTATCTGATATCTACTCTACTTCTTAAACCCTTTTTCTTTGGTGATAGTAACCTCATGTGATCCGGTACCAAGTTCAAGTGCAATGACCTCGAAGAAAAAGATGCATGGTTGTTGGCCTAGTGACAGCTCAAAATTTACCGCAAGCCGAATGGTTTTGTAATGCAATATTAGTAACGATGACACATGCCGAAAGTACAGGGAAGTAGGCAAGAGAGACAATGTTTCTGTCCGACCTTATCTAGAACTAAGGTACTAAATAAACTAAGGGACTAAATTAAGTATCAAAATTAGTTACCAAAGTATGACGAAAACTTCAACTTCTATTAAAATGAGCCTATCTGGTAGTACAAACGATCCGTTTGTTTCTGCCGTTACAACAACAACAACAACAACTACAAACGATCCGAAGGTCTAAGCATGACGTGACAGCCAACCAGTATATTCTAACCTAACCTAATAGTATATCATAATGAAAACATTTATCCAACTGTTGTAGACTTTTCTTTGAAATTCCAAAATGTGAATCGGAAAGCATTAACTAATAAAATTAAAGTTAAAATAAAAATATATTAAGATCATAATTTTCCGAAATGTAATGAATTATAGAAATAATTGGCACTATTATTATTGTTGTTATAGCGGCAATATTCTGCCGTGATGAGACTCCTTGACTGGATAAAAAATCCCGTACGTAGACCCGACTGTCGTAGGAACGATATTGTCTAAGCTGACAGCAACAACATACAAGATGATTGCTCAAACTTAAGAAAACGGCAAGAAACCCTTTGTACGACAGATTACTTAGAAAGATCAAAGCTGGGGAGCTAGATTCGAAGAAAATTCTGCACTGCATTCATCCGGTAAGTAAGCTCGGCTGGAATTTTATTCTCTGCTGAGAAAAGATATTATATTTAGAGCACACTGGCGGTTAAAACTGTCTGTTTCATAATTTAGGAAACAAACGCCTATTTTAAAGTGTTTTGTATGTGGAATAATTGGTTATAAGGATACCCTTGAGCTACAATTCTTAATCATGAACATAAAGGCTCAAAGCCTAAGCAAGTAACAAAGTGGTACAAGCAAATGCTTTCTCGTAAGTGGATTGTGGACGTGGCAGTACTATGTCTCAAATCACTACGCTTATACATACATATATTGTAAAATTCTTGACTAACTATGATGAAATTACTCTTTTGAACTTGAACTACAGTCACCTGATCTAGACATAAAATTAATTAAGATTATAAATCTGTGAAATAAAACTATGAAAAGATATATATTAGACATTCGGTATAATTTGTCTAAATTTTATTGAAAAGATTTTCGAGCTTCAAACAGATATACTTACTGATACAAAGCTACTATTACTTTCCCAACTGCAAATAATTATTTAAATAAATGTAAAATATGATATAATTAAACCCAATTAATTCAATTTTTTTAATACTTCATTCCCAAATTAAATTAATTTGTTTTTCAATAAAAAAATGTAGAAAATAAATGCGTTAAATAAACAGAAACGCTTCTTTCAAGTGAAACGCAGTATATATAGCAAAAATGTAAAATTCTCTGTGGATACTTAATCAAAACAGCATTCAAATTTTATTATGAGTTGTGTCCATCGAAATTCAGGAAAACTATATTTACATACAATATCTTCTATAAGAGCAATGATTTCTTTCTTTATTTTTTCAATTATTATATTTTTCACGCTTAAATTCACTATTAAATAAACCGACGATATGGCAATGTTCCGTCAATTAAAGTCAACGTCTCCAGAATCTCGTAATTTCTATTGACATATTTTTTTCAATCATCTGCAACCCAATCAGCAGATGGTAGTATTTTGGCAAAGTGCATTAATAAACAAAAATCCTATGCAGGCAAAATAACAACAACGAAGTAATAGAAATAGAAAGAAAAAGGGGAGTAGAATTCTTGTACTGAGTTGTGAACACCAAGAGAATATACAAATAAATGAAAACAATGTGAAAGGTGTAAATTATTAATGCATTTTGTACATAAAAACGGCGACATTTGGACGGTTGATTAGGTAAAATAATATAGTAAAGCGTTTGTAATAATATTTTGTAAAAGGACTGATAAAAATAAATAAAAAGGCTGAATATGCAAAGCCATCAACGAAACGAAAGTCGAGCGCCATTTTTGTCAGTTGTCAACTTCGTGTTTTCGCAAGTGAATTTAGTGAAATTTTATCGAATAATTTTACATTAAATCTCCATTGAAAATTATTAAATTTGGTAAATAATTAAAATTCAAACTGTTTAGAATGTCTTGAAAGCAGTTATGTGTAAAACTTTGTAGTTTAAGAGAAGTTATTTGCAATTGAAATTCAGCGTGCTGACGAAGTCGAAAGGGCGCAATTAAAATTTCTTTGTCGTGTTAAATTTTGCCAATGATGTCTTCTTTAAAAGGCTTCTGAAAAAATTCTCGACGAATCAATACGTTTAGAATTTTCATAAAAAATATTTTATTTTAAATAGGCTGCACAGAAAATGAGCGCCAATGCGCTGGGCGGGGACGAAAATCAGACGGCATTGTCGATTACGACGACAACTGTACCACCCGGTCAAGAATTCATTGATGAGTTCGAGGAGTTATTGGAATGCAATGAAACTCAAATCCGAATCGGTGAAAGAGTGACACTTGCCATAGCGAGCAATGGCAAAAGCGTTGGCGGCGGAAAAAATGTCAACGAGCGCAAACCAAATGGCATTGTATCCACAAATTGCGAAGAAAAATCCCGCTCCGAGGTATGAATGCTTTGCTGAAATGTGTATGTGTTATTTGAAATGAGCAAATTATAATTGGTTTGGAATTTTTTAAAACGATTTTAGTTGGATTCCGAGGTGAGTGAGTTACTGGGTTCTGTGATAATGCATAATTGTACGGGAACTCGTGCTAGTGCACGGGTCATACAAAAAATGAAACAAGACCAGACGCGACCATTAACACCACCAAATGAACGCGATCCACAGCGACGTGACGAGAAGTCAATGCAAAAAACTCCATCGCAATTACGCAGCAGTAAGCCGACATGGTCTAATTTAGAACGCAATCACTTTTTTGATGCGCTTAATGAGTTTGGCAAGGATTTTGATGCACTCGGCAATTATATAAACACAAAGTTGAAACGCAGAAGCACCGCAGACAGTGCATTCAAGACGAAAGAACAAGTGCGACAGCACTATTACCAGACGTATCATAAAATCTGTAAATATATAAAATTTTCTGACGGTAAGTGGCCTTGTTAATTATATTTATTTGCATACATATGCATATAGTATGTAATATACTTTTTAATTGTTTCTTTCTTTGTTGCAGAAGTTAAGAAACCGGCACAGGAGTTATATGCTCTTATCAATTATGGCGAAATGCGACGGAAACTTCAATTTGTAACCGATAAACACTTCATGAAGTTGCGAAATCTTGTCTACCATGGTCACATAACTGTGCGTTGCAAAGGCAAAAACCTTCGTATTAAGACACCATCATGCAAGGCGTTAAGGAGACTGAACCAACTTGATGGTAAATAAATTTAAGCATGCAATTAGAATGCCATTAAAATTTTTGTTTGCAATTGCAGATTCACTTGAGGACATACGATTGCCGTCGAAAATCGAAGTAATCGTTAGTCCTGCCACTATGGAAGCCTTCGGACGCGTTCAAACCGTTGCGCAAAATCCACGTGTACGCACTACTGTGCCGCTGCACAAGAAACTGGTAAATTTTATCAAAACCTTTCAAATGAAATGGCGTAGTGCCGAACAGAAAATGGCGGAAGAAGAGTTGAAATTGTTTCCTTCGTATTGTGCGCCCGCACCCACTCTACATTCAACCGATTGTAACGGAACGCAGTCTGCCGAAAATTCTGAGCGTCTGCCAGCCTTTCAAGATCCGGAAATGTGTTTTTTACCCAAACCAGGTGTGCCTATACATCGTCCATTGTTGAGCATTACGGAGTACCTTGGTAGTGGAAATATCTGTTTGGCCGCCTACGAAGAACGCATGGGCGTGAAAGTGCGTGGTGAAACGTTATCACAAGATCGTGCCGCCAATAAGCGACCACGCACCGATAGTGGTTCGGAGAAACGTTCGCCTGATTCGAAGAAAAATAAACTTTTCAACAGTCCACCATATGAAAAACTAGACAGCGACGGCCCAGTTGGTGATATTGTATTCAAAGAAGAACTTGGCGTGATGTACGAACAAGACATATTACCTGGAAAATGTGAAAGCAGTAGCGATGAGTTAAGCGATGAACTGCAAGAGTTGTTAAATGCCGATTTGGATAGTAGTATAGTGATAAAAGAAGGTGCTGATAACTCACAAGAGGAAATAAAAATATCATTAAACGCAAGTGATATGACAACAA